GCTATGAGTCGGTTCCGACTCAATGGCACCTGACAACAACAACAACATAGTACTCGGGTAATACTCTTATTTTTACGAGCCAGTCTGTTATTTAACTAAAAGGTGACTTCAGGGGACAGTTTTGGTTTGAGATATAAGGAGAATCTTAGGACAGTAGTCTTGGGGAGTCCTCCAGTCTCAACAGTCTGGATTTTTAAAAAAAGAATTCCTGGTTCTATTCCACATTTTCCTCCTATCAGGATCTGTCTATCGTAGCCTTGATCAGAAGAGTCAGTAGTGGTAAGTCAGGCATCATCTAGTTCTTCTGGTCAGTAAGGCTGTGTGGTTCCTGTTCACTGGTAGATCTGTAGATTCGTTTCTGGAATCCTGGTGTGGTGCTGTGGGATAAAGCACTGAGCCACAAGGTCAGTGGTTCAAACTCACCAACCACTCCCTGGAAACCCTATACAGTTACTCTGGTCGGAACCAACTTCACAGCACTTAACAACAAATTAGCTTCTCTGAGTCTTTAGATTCCTTCTTTCACTTTTGCTCCAGACAAGTAGGGACCAACAGCTTTATCTTAAATGACCACACGCTTTTAAGACCTAGACAATCCTCACCAAACTAGGATGTAGAACATAACTTTATAAACTATACCAATTGGTTGAGATGTCCCATCCTTCAAACTCAGAAATCTATTATCTCACAAGGTGTTTGGTTATGTCTAACTATCCATAACTGTGCCCCCTATGTGCTTTATTACATATATATATGTGTGTGTGTGTATAATATATATGCGTATAGCTCTGGTAGCGTAGTGGTTACGAATCGGGCTGTGAACCTTAAGGCCAGCAGTTCAAAACCACCAGCCGCTCTGCAGGAGAAAGATGAAGCTTTCTGCTCCCGTAAAGATTTACAGCCTCGGAAATCCTGTTCAGGGTCGCTATGGGTCAGAACCTACTCGATGGCATTTAACAACAACATGGGGTTACTTTGCTTCGGAATCAACTTTCCAGTCACACATAAATATATTTCACATAGTCATACAGTCACACATATATATATTTATGTGTCCACACGTACATACTGACACGTTTTTGGCAGTTGTTAAATACATATGCCATAGCAATGACTTGTTTTGCATGTACTTCTCAGTGACGTCGTTTATCTTGGTCATGCTGTGGACACTTCATCTGGTGGTGTGTTTCCCATCACGGAAAATAACGAATGTTCCATTATCTACTATGTAGACAGCGATTCCCGTTGCCCCTTGCTCCCACCCATTTCTTGTAACTACCCATGAGCACAAGGAGCTCTGGTAGCATAGTGGTTACGAATCGGGCTGCAAACCGCAAGGTCAGTAGTTTGAAACTACCAGCTGTTCACGGGAGAAAGATGAGGCTTTCTGCTCCCATAAAGATTTATAGCCTCGGAAACCCTGTACAGGGTCGCTATGAGTTAGAAATGACTCCACAGCACAGAACCACCACCACCACCCATGAGCGCTGGTCTCTGTATATACCCCTATGCTTATAAAAATGAGATCATATAATACTTGTCCTTTTGTAATAATTTATTTCAGCATAATGTCCTCTAGATTCATCCACGTTGTAGGTTTGTTCTCTTCAGGTATTCACATCTCCCCTCGCAAGCTTTAGAAGACGAGTGAATGCAGGTTAAGGCCACATGTTAAATCTGCCCAAGCTGGCTTTCCGCTGAGTATAACTAAACTGCGTCTCCTAGGAAGAGCTCCAAGGGCCCTTTTCATCCCAGAAGAATGGGGACAGTGCCATCTGAAGCCTGCTAACATAAAGGCCTGACCCCAAGGAATGAGGCCCTGTTTAAGTAGCTCATCCTGTGTCATTAGTGCTGTAAGAGAAAATACTTTTGCTGGGATTTGAAATACAACATTAAGTCGTGTGTGGTCTGAGGAAAAACTGTAATAAATGCCACAAGGCGAGTTGTCACCTGGACTCTGTGAAAAACGTGTGAATCTGCTGTGCAGCCGCTTGTCCCACGACTTGCTCCAATTCTTGAATGGACGCATTACTAAGTTGTTGGATACTGGGGAATTTCTGCAGCAGAAGGGGAGCTTTCACTTTCCCCACTCCCGGGATCTGTTGCACAGTTCGAAGGAGGGATGTCTCCGAGAGTTGAGGCCGTTTCTTCCTGAGAAAAGGGTTCTTACTGGGCTCTTTCGCTTGTTCTTGGACCTGAAACAGAAATGAAAACGGAAAAAGCACATGAGCGCCCTCTAGAGAACAAGCCGTCTTAAAATTTTGTTTTATGGACATTAAGTTTGTCAAGTACAAGGGGGCTTTCAAAAAGTTAGTGGGAAAATTTCATTATCTTTTCATTCTATTTTTCCATGAGCTTTCTGAAGCTCCCTGGTATATAACAAAGTGAGCCCGTTGGAAAACCTGAGTTTAGCCTCCCAGGCTGTGATGACTGACATTCATGATTCTGCACTTTGGCTGGTGAAATTGTCAACCAGGAGCAGCTCTGGATCATGCACTCATATCTTTTGTTAAAGTATTAGGGCGCCTCCATGTGCACGTTTATCATTTTTTTGGTTTTTTAACTGATTGTCATCTCCACTGATTTGCTTCAACTTGACTGCAGAATTGTTGGGGAAACTATATTAGGTAATGCCTATTGCATTAAGCAAATGTGCTGCACAAGACCTTTTTAAAGTGTTGAAGAACAAAGGTGTCAGCTTGAGGACTAAGATGCACCTGACCCAAATCATGGTATTTTCAATAACCTCGTATACATGCGAAAGCTGGATAGTGAATAAGGAAGACCATAGAAGAATTGATGCTTTTGAGTTATGGTGTTGGAGAATATTGAAAGTGCCATGGGCTGCCAAAAGAACTAACAGATCTGTTTTGGAAGAAGTGCAGCCAGAGTGCTCCTTGGAGGTCAGAATCTCTCATACTTCAGACATATTGTTAGGAGGGATCAGTCACTGGAGAAGGATATCATGTTTGGTAAGGTACAGTGTCAGAGAAAAAGAGGAAGATCTCTAGTTAGATGGATTGGTAAAGTGGCAGCATCAATGGGCTCAAGCGTGGCAACAATTATGAGGTTGGCCCAGGATCGGGCAGGGTTTCGTTATGTTGTGCATAAGGTTGCTGAGTCAGTACCGACTCAATGGCACCTAACACCACCACCACCACCTAGTCCTGTAGTCCTGGTGTGGTGCTGTGGGTTAATGTGTTGGACTGCAAAGTCCATCTGAAGTGTGAGGTCTGAGGTTCAAGCTCACCAGCTGCTCCTAGGAAACCGTATACAGGGTTGCTATAGGTTGGAACCGACTCATCAGCGCCTAACAATGCTTAGGACTTAGTTTAAGGAGCACTGGTGGTGCTGTAGGTTAAGCTTTCAACTGTTAACAGCAATGTCAGCAGTTCAAATCCACTAGTCACTTCTCAAATAAAGGATGAGACTGTTCCCATAAAGATTTGCAGTTTCAGAAAGCCTATAAAGGGTGGCTATGAGTCAGAATCAATGATGGCAGTGGGTTAGTGGAGGCCCCATATCAGGCCTATTAAAAAGCAGGTCTTGACGGCACTGAACATTTTCTTCATAGAACGATCACTAGCTGAAGACTGTCTCTACTTTGATCAGCAAATTTCCTCCAAGTTCTATATCAAGTCAACCCAGTTTAGATATTGTTGTTGTTTTCAGTGCGGTCAAGTCTGATCTGATTCATTGCGACCCTGTATAAGGTGTCTGAGGAGCAGCTGGTAAGCTTGAACTGACGAACTTGAAGTTAAACTGACTGTAGTCCAGCGCATTAACCAGCAGAGCCACATATATCCCATTAGTGATGCCTACACAGCTGAAGTTTCTTTATAGATCACAGGCAAGTCTGGATTCTTAAGAGTGTGTTTTTCATTAGTTTTATCCTAAACATTCTGAAAACTCGTTATTTTTTTAACCATTTTCATTTTTAATATTATTTTTTGTGTGGCCACATGGTTCAACTTTCAGTAACTCTGCTGATGTCTGAAAAAGTATATTTATAGTAGATAAAAACTGAAAAGCAAGACACTGACACCAGTAACTCACACTGAACCTAGCGGAAAAACTGTTATTAAGTGCCATCAAGTCGGTTCCGATGCATGACCCTGCACAGGAAGGAACATTTAGTGAGTTTCAATTGCTGACCATGAGATGAAACTGACCTTTCCGGTCTAGTGCTGACCCTTCAGCGCCACATTTTATCAAAGAATTTAGGGAGAGTGAAGCAAGGAGGAAACAGTGAAAAGGGATCTGCGAAAATCAGGAACTGCTTGCATTGCCAACTAGGTGATCCGTCCTAGCCGCATATCAGAATCAGAGGGCAATTTAAAAACAACAAATATTTGATGTGGATTTTTAACAGGTCTGAAATCGGACCTTGATTAACCCACTGCCATCGAACTGATTCCGACTCATAGCAACCTTTTATAGGCATTCCGAGACTACAAATCTTTATGGGAACAGTTTCCTTTTTTATCTGCAAATTGACTGGGGGGGTTGACCTGCTGTGGCAGTTAGTAATCAAATGCTTACCTACAGCACCCGCAGGGATCCTTACACTAAGGCCTAGGCATTGTTGTTGGTAGGTGTCATCGAGTCGGGACCGACCCATAGTGACCTTATGCACAGCAGAATGAAACACTGCCCGATCCTGGGCCAACCTCACTACTGTTGCCACGCTTGAACCCATCGATGCAGCCACTTGGCCAATCCATAAAAAAGGGTCTTCCTCTTTTTCTCTGACCCTCCAGCCTACCAAACATGATATCCTTCTCCAGCGACTGGTCCTTCCTGACAATGTGTTTGAAGTATGAGAGATGAAGTTTGGCCATCTTGGCCTCCAAGGAGCACTCTTGAATGATCTGTTGGTTCTTTTGGCAGCCCATGGCACTTTCAATGTTCTCTAGGCACTGGGCATCACTAATAGCTTCCCAAAGTATTTTGCAGTTAACTTGAAACAAACTAGTGGAGATAATGAGAATCAGTTAAAAAAAATTTTTTTTTTGATAAACTTGTACACGGAAGGAGCACCCTGATGTTAACAAAAGATAGGAGGGGATGGAGCAGAGCAGCTACTGGTTGACAATTTCACCAGCAACAGTGCACAATGATGGATATCAGTCATGACAGCCTGGGAGTCTAAACTCAAGTTTCCAACTAGCTCACTTTGTTATAAACCAGGGGGCTTCAAAAAGTTCATGGAAAATGGAATGAAAAGATAATGGAATTTCCCCACAAACTTTTTGAAGCCTCCTCTTAGTAGGCTGCAAGGCAACTAACTTCTGAACTTAGATTTTCCAAAAGCGTTTTTCTAAATTAACACATGGAATGATATAGCCTGAATTGGTGGGTTATGAGTACAAGGTCAGTAAAGGATCCATCAAGGTCTGCTGAGCTGTGAGATGGCAGGGCTTTGTGGAGGAGTAGGGGGTCAGTACTTACTAACTGGACAATGAGGGAGGACGCTTCCATCTGGCTGGCCACTGGAAGCAACACCATGCCCAGGTCCAGCACTGTGAACTTCTGTACAGCTGGGAAGTATTGTTCACTCATCTGTGTCTTTTCAACTAGTACAATCCCCTGAAGCTTACTGTCCTTCAAAGACGAAAAATATGACAAATAATCATCTTGTAACAAAATTCCTTTGAAAATGATTAATGAGGATTTCAGGAATAGGAGGCGGAGTGTTTGAAATGATCAATGGTTTGATACAAAACGTTCCAAGGGATGGGAAAAGGGGGTGAGAGCTGCAAGCATATCTCCTTTTCAGTACTTACATTTCTAACCCGAACAAGTTTTTTTCTGTAGTCGCTTCCTGACACCATATTAGCTTCGGTGATATAAAGAATACAGGATCGGTTAGACAAGTAAAAATCTACCAGTGTGATGCCATCCTCAAAGGCGACTTTAACTTTCCCTTCAAATACAGACAAGAAAATGAGTTCCACGAGCTTTGGAGAAAAAGTGTTAAAGATATTTTATAAAAAGTGGTGGCTGGGCTGGAATGGAGGGCAGGAGCATGCAGAGGGAGGGTAGCCCACTAACCTTGCATCCCCCTCACCAGCTGCGACTCTCGCCACCTGGGACTAGCCACAATGTGCCCCAAAGGCACGTGTATGGGGCCGGTGTCATCAGTGGGGGCCCTTTCCATCGGTAGCCTGGATCTAATGAGGGGACTGAATGAAAGATGGCACTGGACCAGATCCTCCTACACTGGGCCCCATAGTCCACTCTGGTCTCTGGGGCCAGATCCCGTCTGCAGAACGTTTTTTAAAAGGTTCACTTTTTTTTGCCAAAGTTTAAGAATCAGGAGTTTCTTCTCCAGGTGGTCATGTCCCTCATTTTCGTCACTTTCCCGGTTCCTTGTACCCCACCTCGGTCTGTGGGGTGGCTCCTCAATTCAGATCCCGGAGGAAACCGAATAGCAGAGAAACAACCTCAGCTTCCCATTCCCAGAGGTTCCAGCGACCTTACCTGTGGTGGTGCCGACTCAGACCAGCCTCATATTCTAGCTCCGCCCCTCAGAGAGCCGGATATTCCAAGGCGTTAGAGATGAACATCTGATATGACCAATAAGAAAGCGAGTAGCGCGCTCGGCTTCCGCGCTGGTGAAGATTTAAACAGGACCCGCTGGTTGCCAAGAACGATAGGCATGGCAGTTACCTTGGTTTTGATTGGCCATGGAGAAAACCGAACCAATGGCAGACAGGGCTGTTGCGAAGCCCAATGCAAAGAAAAAGCGTCTGGGGCTAGGCGGGGATGAGGAGGAGGTCCTTCTAGGGAAGCGGTTCCCGGCTCTGGTGAGAATTTCAGTGTATCCCTGGTCTGGTTTTCTCCAGCTGCAAGGATGCTCCTGGGATTTCGGAGAAGCCGCAAGAGCCAGTTTGTAAGTACGTGGAAGCTCGTCTGTGCTGTGCTTTGGCTCCAAGGGGCCTGGAGTTAAAGAGTGAGGTGCTGGGGCAGTTTGGGAATTTAGTCTGAGATTGGAGCACTAGAGGAAGTCGTTTTCAATTCGAGACGCCCCAACTTTTTTTTTTTTTTCTTAAATGTTTTATTGTGAATTATGTGATCGTTTACATGGGAGAAC